TGCTCTTCCGATCTCCTATAGCTATATTTTGGGGGGAGGAGGGGGGTGAGAGGAAAACAAACTCAACTGCAACGGCTGCTGCTGTTGTTGCTGCTGTTGCTGCTGTTGCTGCTGTTGCTGCTGTTGCTGCTGTTGCTGCTGTTGCTGCTCTTCTGATTATAGAAGAAGGGAACAGTGTACATACACCCCGAGACTCTCCTTTGTGCATGCGGCAATAAGGAGGAAGAAAAGGAAGAAAACAACAATTAATTAAATAAAAAATTAATTAATTAATTAATTAATTATTCAATTAATTAAATAATTATTCCTTTCTTATAACAAACAAAACCCAATAAAAAAACTTTGCCATTCATTGAGTGCTGCTGCTGTTGCTGCTGCTGTTGCTGCTGTTGTGTATATGCGCGTACACCTCAAGAGGAGAAGCAGCAGCAGCAGTTGCTACTTAGGGACAATAATTGACAATTAAAAGAATAAATAAAAATAAAAAACATAAAAAGGGAAGAAAAGCGAAAGAAAAATCAGCAGCAGCAGCAGCAGCAGCAGGCAGAGCAGGCAGCAGCAGCAGCAGCAGCCACTGGTCCAACAACAAGGAGCATGTGAGTGAGCAGCAACCGCAGCAGCAGCAGCAGCAGCAGCAATTGTTGTTATATTCTGTTGAAATCCTTCTTTGTTTCCTATTAATTAATTAAATTAAATATAAATAATAATTAAATTAAATAAATTAATTTATTTCTTTATAAATAAATAAAAAAAAGAAAGAAAATAAATGAGCTGCCTATACACCCCAACTTCGAGTGTTGTGTTGCACACCCCTCTTCTTATTATTCAGGTGTATAGGCAGGTTGTGGGGCCAGCATACATCATTAAATAAAGAGGAAATTATTTTATTTAATTTATTTATTATTTATTTTATTTAATTATATAAATTAATAGAAAAAGAAGGACGTATTTATCCCTGCTGCTGCTGCAACAACAGCAGCAAATGCTGCTGGTGCTATTTGTTAAGACCACCGACCACAACAACAGCGGCTCCGACAGCAGCAGCAGCAACGGCAGCAACAGCAGCAGAAGATTCTCCTGCAGCAGCAGCAGCAGCAGCTGCTGTTGCTGCTGCTGCTGTTGCTGCTTATGCTACAATAAAACAAGTGTTGTTATTTAATTTTATATTTATGAATATAATTTCCTTGGGGTGTATATGCATATAAATTTAATTAAATTAATTAAATTAATTAAATAATTATAATTTAATTAATTAATTAATTAATTAATTAATTAATTAATTAATTAATTAATAATAATTAATTTAATTAATTAATTAAATTAAATATAAATAGTTTATAATCCTTAGGCTCCTTTGTTTTATATTGACTACCATGATGGGGTAGACAGCAACAGTCCTGCTGCTGCTGCTGTTGCTGCTGCTGTTGCTGCTGCTGTTGCAGCAGCAGGTGCTGCTGTTGCTGCTGCTGTTGCAGCAGCAGGTGCTGCTGTTGCTGCTGCTGCTGCTGTTGCTGCTGCTGCTGCTGCTGCTGCTGCTGCTGCTGCTTTTTTGCTGTTGCTGTGTCTGCATCAATACGGGGCAGCTGTGCTTGTATACTGCTAATTCTTGTGGTGTTACTTCCGTTGCATTTGCTGCTGCTGCTGCTGCTGCTGCTGCTGTGTTCGCTGTTGCCTTGCTGCAGCAGCCGCAGCAGCAGCAGCTGCTGCTGCTGCTTCTTTACTTTTAAGGAGGCAAACCCTTTTGTTCTTACCACCTCAATACAACCAAAACTCCTTAATAGCAGGTCCTTAAGGGTTTAGGGTTTAGGGTTTAGGGCTTAGGGTTTAGGATTTAGGGTTTAGGGTTTAGGGTTTGTGCTATATCTTGTACAGGTATTATAGGGTTAGGGTTAGGGTTTAGGGTTTAGGGTTTAGGGTTTAGGGTTTAGGGTTAGGGTTAAGGCTCGTGTTTTCAGTCTTATAAATCGTATTCTCTTCTTAGGGTTTATTGCTTATTGCTGAGGGTTTAGGGATTAGTGTTTAGGGTTTAGGGTTTAGGGTTTAGGCTCGTATTAGGGAGAGGGCACACTTTAAGGGACAAATAAACCCCAAACCCTAAACCCTAAACCCTAAACCCTAAAACTTTCTTCTTTTATTCATAATGCATTAAAGTTTGTTTATTTTATTTACTCGCAGAAGATAAACCCTAAACCCTAAACCCTCAAAATACGTCTTAGACCCTAAACCCTAAACCCTAAACCCTGAACCCTATTAAGTAACTTTTGAGTTAACTCACCAATTATCTTCCCCTTAAGAGGAGTACAAAAAGGGTTTAGGGTTTAGGGTTTAGGGTTTACGGCTATATATGTTGTGCATGCAATTAAACCCTTTCTTAATATACACCTCTGCATGCATGCACGGTAAATCGTGCATGCATGCATAGTAGCAGAAAAAGAAAGAATGCATGCATGCATGCATGCACACGCCAATTCGTACACGAGTACGCTGTGCATGCATGCAT